GGAGCCTCCAATGCGGGCTGACGTATAGGTACATTAGCCTGCATCAGTGCTGCTTCCTGTCCACTGTTTATAGGCAATGGGTGGACAGGAAGTGGTTAAACAGATGCACTGCTACCTTTAGGATGTAATGGCATCTCTAGTGACATCTGTAGGCCTAATGCTTTTTTTTACAATAAAGCCTCTAGTGTGCATGTGATCTCTATGTCATAGTTGTGGTGGTTTATGTAAGGATATATATTATTTATAAAGGGCGTGTCCCTTTCCCTTAGATGAAATATTACAGTGCCTCCAGCCGTTAAAATACGGCAAATATTTAGTAAACCAATAATTTGGACACCTTGATAATTTGATCACCACTTATTATTATACCTTGAATTCTTTTAGCCAATATGATTTCGTACCATACACACAAAATTTGCCTTGTAATAGATAAATATAAAAATTTATTTATGTACAAAAATTATATATATATTAACACAAAACGCAAAAGACTGGTGATAAATGAATATTGGTACACACAATCAAAAATATATCCTACCAATGTAAGACACAATAATAAGGTTTCTAACTAATTACATCAATATCACAATTTTTAAATGATATGATTATTTATTAAATTTATTAATAATTAATAATTTCGAATATCTCAAAGGTTATATTCTCACAAGCCGTGGCCATAGGATTGCAAGAAGCAAGCCCTTGATATATGATACTCTGGTTATTAATATTCAATAAATTATGAAATATGAAAAAAATTATAATATGGCAACAAACAATTTTTAAAAGTAAAACAGGATCTCTCTACATATATCTAACTACCCAATATTGTTGTGATACACTAAGGTAATTCTATGATTCCACACAACGGAGAAAATAGGTAATATAAAATCAAATAAACATCTCACCACACCCGGAATTCAGACTAGGCAACTCTCCCGTGGATTTAGCTGGCAGTGGAACGCCTTTAGACTGATATTATAGGGCAAGTGATAGATATTCAGTAGGGGAGAATGTAGGAAGTGATAAGGTTAGAGGTTTAGAAATTTAGTTAAAGTTTTAGGAAGTTTGAAAGTATGAAAGAGTAGTTATTCAGCAGAGATCTTCTTCAGATGTCAGGGTCTTCTTTTGATGAGGTCTCTTCTTGAGCTTTTTCTTGATGAGGTTTTTTTCTGTTAAAGGTACAAGGGCTTTTATATCCACTAATCCATTGTTCTAAGATACCTTCCCACCAGGCTTCTTGATTGGCTAGTTGAGAAATGTGTGTACATAAGCTATTTCTCACCTGCCCGCCAGGTGGCGGTCATGTATCATAGAACAATTTGAGTATTTGAGATGACTCATACCTTGGGTGGAATCTTAAGGTAATTTCAGGAATCAAATATACGTCTTTTTCCAGATATAAGTGATCATACCTATAATATTCTAAATAGGGACCATGGAATATAGGTGTATATTCAGTTATTCCTTCTTGAAATACCATCCTGTTTGTTTCCTGATAAGACATGTAACTAATGCTAGTTTATAATACATCTTACTTCCCATCATCTCAATACTCAAGTTAGTGATATATAGTTCCCATTTCTGAATATTTAGTGGTGTGTAAAATCCATAACATCTCATTTATAATATGTTTTTGTAATATATTTTTGTAATTATATACAGTCAACTTTTAGACTTAAATGTCCTGAATTTCACCTCTTTGTTTTAGAATCAACATTTTCTATGTGTAGGAAAAAAAACTCTCTGTTTGCCTGGCCCTTGTATTGGACTCATGGTAAAAACAACTGTTAATGCTTTCACCCTTGGTGAACAATAGTATATTGTAATAGTTTCAGAGGTCTGTTGGTTTATCACACCCTGCAAGTTTTGGTTAAGCTTTCAACCAGTTGAGTTCCCGTCTCATTATTGTTAAAATGTTTGAAAGTCGAAGTCCTATCTGGCTATTTGTTTGACTTTCTGTATATGCATTCTTCTCAACCTCAATATACAAATAGTCCTTGTTGACAGTCCAAACAGTCTTATTGTCTTGGAAAAGTCTTACTTCCCCCATTCTCTCCATTTCTTTAACTAGAATCCTTGATGGTTCAACCAAGACAAAATTAACTCTTAGCATCCGGCTATACTGAGCTGTTTGTCATATAATATTATGTCTTGATAAAGTCATATTTTTGAGACATAATTCAAAAGGTCCACAACATAGTTGACTTAGTGATCACATGACTGGGAACCTCTCGGTTTGATTCCTAATCCTTAAAGTGGAACTTCACCCAAAAGGGAAGCTCCGCTTTTCTGCCTCCTCCTCTACCACTCTTGGAAACTTCTTTTGGGGTGAACAGAGAGTGATTACTGGTTTTGACAGGTACCCACTGCCACTTCTAGTCGGATCGCCCGGGCTGATCCACCAGAAGTTTCCCATCCCACCTCCCTTCCCGAAACCTTCTGGTCACAGGTCTCTAAAGACTGCGGGACCCTTTACAAACCACAGCACAAGCCACTCATGTGCCTTGTGGCTTCACAGCCAGTTTCCCTGAATGTACATGGAGACTTTAGTGGTGCAATGCCAAAAGCCTTGTCTTTCAAATGTGAACATCAGAGTGTCCACTGAACTGTAATTGGATGGGTCATCAACTGTAACTTGTGGTTTACTAAACAGGTGTAAAGTTAAAAACAAATTATGCAAAACAGGGTCACAATGACAAAGAGATTATGGAAGTTGTGCAAACATGGACTCCTCACAGCAATGTCTCTATGGCTCATTCAGGGTAACATGGTTACATAGCATAGTCTCTATAAGACTCTATAACAAAGAAGGGTCAAGCTAAGGATCACTAATTCAGTAAAACAGCACACAACACAGCTACTTGCCTTATAAACAGCTTCCCTCACAATTAAGTCCTGGAGAGATCTGGTAACTCCAGAGAACAGCTGGAAGGATCCCAAGCACAAGGAAAAAAGGCCTCCCCCCCTATAAGTGATGCTATAATAGCTGGGTCTTATGGAGAAGCTTTGTGCTAATCGGCTCTGGTCTGGCTGCCAGCTGGTGGTTCTGACAGAGGAGAGCCTGCCACTTGGCTGCAGATCACTTGCCCAGTTATCTCTGACTCCTTAGGTGTGGCATCTCTAAGCTCCAGTGGATAGGGAAGCAGAGAAACTTCTCTTTCCCTGGGCAAGTCCAAGTTTTGAGAAAAGGAGTTAAGGTGTCTGCACCTACATCTGAGCATGTGCGTAAATGGGAACTCTTCTACAGCACAGCAGTGTCTACTGCACTAAGATTCTACCCTAAGTGAAGGGTACAGTGACAGCTGAATAACAAGGAGCAGGGACTTTCAAACACTTTATCAGTAATATTAGCCTTCAGTAGACTTGACAGGTTCCCTGGATGAACCTGTGCCGATGGGCTTCTGTTCACTTCAGATGGATTTTGCATTACAAAACAATAGTAATGCAAAAGCCTGCTTGAAGAAGACCAAATGGAGGTTCAACTGCAGGTCAAATACACCTGTGAATGACTTTTGAACGATCTCAATAGTGTTTGAAACTGATGTCATCATCACAAGCCCAAAGCCAGTCAACACAAACCCTTAAAGAAATGACATCCCTTTATACACTTGCTAATGTACATCGAAAAATAGTTTTTGATAGAAGAGGGAAGGGTTAACATATCTGGGTTTTTTTTGTTGCTGTCATCTGTTCTCCATAGGGAAGGTTTTCTTTCACTTCCTGTCTCGAAACTTAATGTCTATGTTACCGCAACAAGTGCTCCAACTGGAACATTACAACCCTATTCCTATTCCAGTGATAACTCATAATTCTAAATTTTCCATCAACTTTTTCTAAAAAAAACCCAATGACACTGGTCACTAGGAAAAATAGTGAAGGCGAATCACCCTAGCAGGGACACAGGCAGCAAAAAAAACCTGACAGAGATTCTAGCAATTTTCAACCGTAACCAAAATGGAAACAAATGGCTTCAAATACAGTTTAGTATCGTGTTAGTATTTACTGTATAACATACATAAAGATAAACTTTTTTCACTTTACTTTTCTGTATATTTCTGGTGACACCTATCAATGCACCAGTTAATGGTATATTTTGACCTTCTATGTTTAGTCTACTGTAATAAAGAGAAAAGAAACTGTATTGTTTACAATTTTAGCTGTCTTTTATATCTCATTGATGGCTCTGATCCAATCCAATGAAATGAAATAGCAAGGTGGTCTTGTTCTTATTTTCCACCATTGAAGAAAGATTTTGTTCCATGGGAAGAAAATGGGGGAACTGATGGAAGCAAATAGATGCAGTGTGCTCTTACATGCTAGATCCCATCTAATAAATGTACCAATAATTACAGATCACGGATTTTTGTATGCATTTGTATTATACTTGTATGTACTTTGTACACTCAACACAGTTTAAACATAAAGGGTCCTAAACATACTTCTAAACTTTAGAACATGAGAATAAAACTGGCCATAGACAGAAAGCATTTCGAACAAAAATTCTAAGGACATTTGAATGTCATTCAAAAGATTTCATTTGCTTTTAACTTTTGATTTTAGAATGAATGGACTTTACCAAATGAACACCACATACAATGTTAGAAACGTGATTGTTTGAGAAACGTTTTCCATACTGTTCCTTTAAAGTTTCTCATCACTGTGGTCAACAATAAATGTTGATTTGACCAAATAATGATTAGAAAAATGAACAAATTTTCTCAGAACATTTTTTTCCTAAGAATTTACATTCAAAATTCTGCTCATCTATGGCCATCTTAAGAGATGTTTCTGGGGAATGGGTACCTGGGGGTGTTTTTAGCACCCTGTGGCAAAAGGTGGGTATGGTTAAAGGATAAGTTCACCTTTTGTAACATGCTACATTTTACACCCATATTCAAGGTGCAACATGTTATAAATGCACTGGCCATATACCACCCGATCCCACGTTCTGATAGCTTGTGGGGGATGCTCTCCCTCCTACTGGTTGTCACAATCTAAAGAAAACCTGGCCATGCAGATCTTCGCTTGCCCATCCGCATCATCCATTCACAGTGTTCCTTTGCAGCTGGACAGAGGATGAAATGTTCTGGCACACTCAAAAGAAAATGGTGTGGCCTCTGCAATGTTTGTCATAATATATTACCCAGAATGGGGACCCACAAACTGTGGTGGGCATATGATTATAAATCGAAAGGGCAGAAGTGAATAAATTGGTCCATATATGAGTCCATATAAAAGATAGCTTGACTTAGAAGCTGTCAGCTGGGATAGAACAAAGAACCAGCAAACACAAATGCTCCTGCGCTTGGGGATGGACTCGATGCTACAACCACATTAAGAATGTCCTGGAACATGCACACCTTGCTGCCCTCAAATGGACCGGGGGAATCCAAATATACTGAATGGGGAAAGAACAAAAAGAGGGCGCACAGGCCTAGTGCATTACCATAAAAAATGTTTAATAAAAATAAAGTAGGTGTTGTACTCACAAACGACAATATAGTCAAGGCACGTCATAAAAAGAACAGCTGGATCAACACCGCGCTGAGTAACAGTCCGCAATAGGGAGTTTAGACATCCAAAAGGCTGACGCGTTTCGAGGACTTGCCTCTTCCTCAGAGCTAGAAGAGACTCTGTAGAAGATAGAACAGAGGTGGCGCCATCTAAGTGCAGCAATTGTAAAACATTTATTCGCATACAGTTTAACAATTCACAGGATGGAAGAAAAAAGGCACTTGCCTTGAGAACAACTGCAATGGTCCGGCGTGTGAATGGCGATTCTCTGGTGTGAGGGCTGATGATCTGGGTTGCGCTGGTGGCTCCCAGCATTTGTTGCAGTCACGCATACACTTGCTCCCTCTTCAGGCCAGGATAGGGGCCATCTTGGTGTGGGTATATATTGGAAAGGAACTGGAAGACAGAGGAATCATTTCGTCTTCACTGCTACCATGGAAACCAAACAATAATCGCCAAGAGAGACTCACTACGGCATATTATCGGGACAAGGATATTCTCATACCATATGCATATATAATATACTGATGCATGAAACACTGTGAAGCACATAATATCTCTAATATAATATAAGAGCATCGTAATCCATGAAACACCTATGTCTAAAAGTCTTCCATTTCCTTTCCGATATATACCCACACCCTGTTGGACCCTATCCTGGCCTGAAGAGGAAGCACGCATGCTCCGAACGTGTGCCATCCCCACAATCCACACAACTGGAAGTTACTGGGAGTGATGTCGGCCTTCTCCTTCCTGATGTACCTGTGACCAAAGGAAAAGCTGGGAGCCACCAGCACAACCCAGGACATCGGCCTCGAACAAGAGAATCACCATTCATACTCCGGACCATTGTGGATGTACTCAATAGGCCTTTTCCCTTCCATCCTGTGAGTTGTTAAACTATATGCGAATAAATTTTTAAAATTGCTGCACTAAGATGGCACCGTCTCTTTTCTCTTATCCTTTGCGGCTGTCAGCTTGTAGTTCTCGATAAACTACCAGGGCATTGAGCGCTCTAGTTAGTTCATTAACCCCTTCACGCCGGATCGTCCCGGCGTGAAGAGGAGTTCCTACAGCGGGAGGTGGGCGGGGCGGGGCGTGGCTTAGTGTCATGTGGCCGGCCGTGACGTCACCTCACGGCCAGTCACATGATCAGAAAAGGTCCTGATCGAAAGAGCGGACCGGGACCTTTCCATGAGTACCTCACATGTGTGCTGGGAGTGCGCAGGGCGCGCGCTCTCAGCACATATGTTTTTTGCTACATGAACGCAAATATGCGGCCGTTTGGCGTCTAGGCACAGATGCCGGGAGGCCGCACATTTGCGTGCGGCCGGCGTGAAGGGGTTAAGCTTCCTGTCAGCGTGTAACTGCCTGCCTGTATCGGAGGTAAAGGGGAACACAGATACACAGAGTCTGCAGGACTGTGGCATTACACCCATGATCTGCTAAAAGTGGGTGCAATGCTTTACAGGTCCCTAACAAAAATAAATAAATAAATGCTTATTTTTTTTACCTGCAAAAAATGCGCAATTATCTTTTTTGTAAAAGTTAACTTATCCTTTAAATTAAGCTGAACACTGGTGCGGCCTCGTTGATTGTGATTACAAACTACACACAATCACCTCCTGGGAATTAACCCAACTTAAATGAACTGACTGCAGACACATCCCCCTTGTACACATGGTCCACCTCCCTACAAACATTGTACTAACTGCTCCTCTTTGTACACACTGTCCCCCAACATGCACACTATGTCCCCGTCTGAGGCATCTAGTGGCTGGGACATTTCACTAACTAATCTTAGCCTGGCAAGATACATTGGCACAGGCTGGCACATTCACTTGTTGTGTAGTGCTGCCTCCGCTCAGTTGTGCCCTGGAGCCCCCTGCATTTTTGAGGAACCTCAAAGTCTTTCATTTTCTGTTCACAATCTAGGAGTCGCTGTAGCCCAAGCTCTACAAAAACCATTGATTGACTGTGGAGCTCTGGCACTAAATTCTGATTGGTGTCTTCCAAGGAGTACTTGTGCTACGCAAGACAGGCGCCTGTCACAGAGGTATATGCCTTCTGATAGTTCCATAAAGCAGCAAAGTGGTCACTGCTGACAGTCACTCTATAGGACCTGAAGTGGTTGCCTACATGACATACAGTAAAATTCAGGAGGAGTTCAGGACACAGCAGAGGCGGACTGACAACTCATGGGGCCCCTGGGCAATAGGAAATCATGGGGCCCCTGTGTCCTCGCCCACACTCAAACCACATCCAAAAAAGCCTATGAAAGGTACCAGGGGCCTCTCATGGGGCCCCCTACTGACCCTGGGCCCTCGGGCAGTGCCCGAGTGCCTAAATGGTTAGTCCGCCCCTGGGACACAGTCTAGATCTCCAGGATGCCTGGATTTTGTAGCAATCCAGGGACAGCCCCACAGAATCTGGGATGATTGGGAGTTATGCAATGTCTTACAATGTCTAAACATTGGATGTGCAGCTAAGTGCCAGTTATTAATGCACTTTAAAGCCATTATAGATTGATGAATGGCTGCATGCTGTACCCTCGTATGAGGTTAATGGACTCCAGGTTAGCTGCATTAACAGTATACCTTCCTGGACATACTCATTACACAGATATCTCAGAAGTTTACATAACCTATTATGGCACAGTATCATAAAAACTCACCATTTATAATTTGCCACTTCCAACTTTAAAACTTCTGCTAAATCTCATCTTGAATATTCTCTGCTCCGGATTAAACTCCAGAAGTAATACCCATAGTAATTATAAAAATGATTTATATGCCTTTATGCTGGGGAGAGACTGGCATAATTAAACACTAGATAATGCCCATGGGGACTGAATGCTCCAATTCTTACTATTGCAATAACAGCAACTAATGAATCCATGAATAATCAGTAGAATAATAGGTAATAAATCGCCCTGGACAGTAAGCTAACACTCTATAGGTCCTGTTTACAAGAAACTTCTTTTGCAGAAATAGGGGAAAATCAATGCCAATCTCTTTCTGAAAATGCTAATTGCCTGGCTGTAATACTTAGTAGTTGTAAGCTCTAACTGGATGATATTAGGCTAGGTTCACATCTTTGCAGATTGTGTTTGATGCATTTTATGGGTGCATTTTGCATTTTTTTCCACACTTGTTTTTTATGCCTTTTTAAAATTTATTTCAGGTATTTATATAGCGCCGTCAATTTACGCTGCGCTTTACATATATATTGTACATTCACATCAGTCCCTAACCCTCAAAGGGCGTACAATCTAAGGTCCCTAGCTCACATTCATACATACACATACTAGGGCCAATTTAGGCAGGATCCAATTAACCTACCAGCATGTCTTTAGAGTGTGGGAGGAAACCGGAGGCCCGGAGGAAACCCACGCAGGCACAGGGAGAACATGAAAACTCCAGGCAGGTTGTGCTGTGGTTGGGCTTTGAACCAACGACCCTAGTACTGCCAGGTGGAAGTGCTAACCATTCAGCCACTGTGCTGCCCATATTTTTATGTATTTGTTATTCTGTGCTTTGTGTGACTTTAGCTGATTGTTAAGCAGCAAACGGCCACCGGTGTCATTAACAGCCAGCAAACAACATGGTTGTTAAGGAACGGCGCAGACACCGCATCCTTAACTACTGATGAGTCATCAGCTGTCAGCGGGGTTCCCCACTTGCATTTTTGGTGAAGTTCCATTGAAGTCTATTACACTCAAAATGCAATCTGCTGCAGGAAAAATGTTCCTGCCCCTTTCAAAAATCTGCGCTGGCTCTAAATGCACAGATGTGAACTAGATCCATAGGAAATCATGTGAAATGAACTGTAGTGTGTTTCTGCAAACTGGAAAATGCACTGAAATCCTAGGATAAAGCGGAATGAAATTCACATAGTGGGTGAGCTTTCACCATAATAGGAAAGTATGCACAGAGTACGTGCAAATCAATCTCTCATTGAAGGGACAGACTGGGATAGGAAGAACAGGTGGTCACCTTGGGCACTTCAGCAGAAGGGGGAGTAAAATGTTCAAGACCTGCAACCTATGCTCCTGAAGTTCACAAGCCATGTGAGGGTGGCACTTTGGCTTTTTTGCTGGTGGCAGTTTGACCCAGCTGTCTCAGTGTGCTCCCCTTCAAATAGTGACAGTTCAGGGCTCTGATTGTTGCTTCTTCTGAGAATGCCGCCTGTCCTTTAGCTTCATAGGGGTTCTTGGATGGCCACTGACAATATAACTTCTGTGCATGTTCTATTGCCCCCAAAAATCTTGTTCCTTGCAAATTTTCAAAGCGGGACTCTTGTTTTGCTTTACATTTGCAAAAGTATTCTCTTGGAAAATACCTGTTTTTATCTTTTACATCTTTTTTGCATTTTTTTTTTTGGATGCTGCTGATCTCCACCATTACAAGAAATACCTAAAATGGGCTATCCTAGCACAATTGCCAGGTATTATTTTAATAGAATGTTGGTCAATGAAGTATCTTGCACTTAGATGCCCTCACTTATGTCAAAAGACAAGATTAAAATGAAAAAAGCACCTGTGGAAAAAAATTGGAAAA